GGAAGAATTGATTCTCACTAAATGATAATTTTTGTTTGTCTGAATGTCTTGAAATAACTCCCCAACAATTCATTTCTGATCCTGTAGCTGGAATTGTTAAAATTACTCCTATTTTTGCTTTAGCTGGATTTACTTTAAATTCTCTTTTTTTAATACAAATATCATATGGATCATTTGAATATGTATGTTCCATTCCAAGTGCTATATATTTTGTTGCATCAATAATTGATCCTCCTCCAACTGCAACAAAGAAGTTAATTTGATTTTCTTTAGCAATTTTAATAGCCTTAATACATGTTTCATGTGATGGATTTGGTTCTATTCCTCCAAACTCTATTATTGGTTTAATATGTTTCATGACTTCTTCATAAACTCCATTCTTCTTAATAGATCCTCCTCCATATGTCATCATGATTCTTGCATCCTCAGGAATTAAATGTTGTTTCTCAATCTCATCTAATGACCCTTTTCCATAAATTAATCTAACTGGATTATAATATGTGAAATTAAGCATTGTCATTGTTTCTTCAACTCAATGAGTATACACTTTTCTCTGTTGTTTAAATAGTCCTTTCATTCTGTAATCTTGTGTATAAAAACATTAACAACTCAACTATTTTGATAATAATTCGCTTTATTGTATCAAAACTTCATCAATCAACGAATACTATAAACTTCATGAATTTTCATTACATATTAATGACACACTTTGTGTAGAAATAGAAACCGTAGAACAGAAAGAATACCATAAATCAAATTACCTCGTTTGTTGATTGTATCAAAAAAGTAGAAAGACAAATATTACATAACAAATAAATAAAACTTTAAAACTCATAACGTATCGACATTTCTTTCTGAACACTTCAGAAAAAACTAGCATTTTGTGATATGGAGATTGTTCAGCATAAATGAAAATTAGTTATACACTAACTCTTAAAACATAAAAACAAACCATAAAACTCTTCTCAAACTAGAGGTGTAAATAATTATACAAATAAAGAAATAAAACAACAAGAGTATGAAAGAAGAATAAGAAGAAACATAAAACATTTCATTCAAATAATTTTTTGTTTTATCACAACATTTTAACTATTCAAACAATCAATAACAAAATTATTTATAATGAAAATTGTTTTTTATACAATAAAAAATATTTATTTAGAATAATAAAAATTTTTATCAAAAATTAAATTAATTTTCATTTTTGTTTTTCATTTTTTCTTTCTTTGATTATTTATTAATCTTTTGGAGATTTTCGTGAACTTCTTTAATAACATTCTTAAGCTCTTCAATTTTGTTTTTAAGCATGTTATTTAATTCGCTATATTCAATAGACTCAAGAAGAACACCAGTAATTCTTCCAGTAAGTTCTTCATCATAATTTTCAATACTTAAAATGAAATCATATAATTGATCACCAAGATCATTCTTCATCTCTTCTGTGACTATTGGTGCTTTTTCGATAGACTTTGGTTGTTTTTTAATATTATTGTCAACCTTGGACTTCTTTTTAGCATTTTGAGAGGCACTGACATTTCTTGGTTGTTTGTTTCCTGGTTTTGGTTGTCTGTTTATAGATGTGTTAAAAACAGATGGGAATAATTGGAAGTATTGAAGGAAATTAACTGGGAAACCAGGAATACCAGTACCGTTGTAATAGTTATTAGCACTACTTCTTTCTTGTTTAGTCTTAAATGGATTAGCAGTCCATCCAAGAATTTGAGCTTTTTGAATAAATTGATGTGCGGACTGTCCATTATCAAAACATATGTAAACAACATCAGTTGGTTCAGAATTAACATATTTAATTTTGATAGAATAAATTCCACCACAATCCTGTAAAGCATTTCTTATTTCTTCTTCAGTAATTCCAGCTTTATCCGTTTTGACATGGAAATTGTATTCTTTATATTTACCAGTTGCATTCATCTTAACTTCACTAGCATGTTGTTTAAATTCTTGTTTTCTTTCTTTTTTTGTTTTATAATAAGTAACAAGAATATCACTATCTCCAAGAACACAATGTCTTGGAGCAGTAACAGCCTTTTGAGCATCTTCAGTATTTTCAAAATTTACAAACCCTTTATTCTTTTCATATTTTTCATCATATAAGAATCTGTAGAATTTCTTTCCATCAGCCCCACACTTAATTGGTCCAAATGTTTCAAAGTATTTAAGGAATTGTTCTTCAGTAACAGTTTTGTCAATATTTCCAATATATAAATTGGTTTTAAGATTTTTAGGTTGTTTACAGAATTTGGCAATGAGAAATCCCTCATCACCTATTTCTTTAGCAATTTCATCTCTAGCATCAACAGCTGCTTGGCACTCTTCAACAGTACAGTACTTTACATAACCAAATCCATTTGATTCATTCTTTTCGTTAGAACTTAATTTAACAGATAAAGTATGTCCATATTTTTCAAAAACTTCTTGTAATTTTTGTTGTGTCACAGACTTCTTAATATATTTAACATATAAATTTGTTTCATTTTGTGTTCTTTGCTTAAATCTCTCATGACCAGAACATATTAACTTTTTACCTTCAATAAGAGTACCATTTAATTTTTAATAGCTGAAAGCTGCTTCATGAAATTCATATTGATATATGCAAAGTTGTATCAATCTGATCTCTATTATGTGGACGTTTGAACTTGTTTGGGAATCTTTAATACTTCAGCAAATAAACAGTTTCTGTGAC